AGAAGTGAAGTGGCGAAGCTGAGGTGCCTAAAGTCATCTCCACCACCGTTGCTGGTGGCAGGCCGCCAAGGCCCCGACAGCCAAGCTGGCCAGAGCAATCTCCGGTGGCGCACGAGCCCTTTTGGCCGTTTGGGTCGAAATTGCACGATTGGCGGGCCCATATCCTGCCAGACCATTTGTTTGGGACGTTGAGGACGATTTCTTGGTTGGTGCTTAGTTGGAAGCCGCCGTCTTGTGGGGTCGGGTGGCCCGCGCCAGCTTGGATAGCGGGCCATATGGTCTCGTTGCAGTTGTTGACAAGGATGAGTTGATGATGCTCGAGTCCACCTGCGTAGAATGCACGACAAAATTAGAAGAAGAAAAAGAAGAAGAAATGTTCAACAATGGAAAATGCCTTTGGAGAAAAGCAGAAAAACCACTCCTCCCTATTGAGGGGGCAATCTGCAATTCTTAAAAAGATTTGATTGGACTAGAGTTCAGGGGTATTTTTCGAATATATCAAGATTTCGACTCGACGAATAGAGAATTAGGAGGATTTTAACAAGAGAAATGAGACCATACTTGTGGCTGTGAGAGAGAGGAGAGTGTTGAGTGTAGTTGAAAACAAGAATGTAAGAATAAGCATTTTTTTTTTCAGTTTAAAAGCACAACAATTTCAGGTAGTGTAAGTGAAAGCTACAACTGGTTTTGATGGGTTAGTGCTGCTGAATGAATGAAAGGTGTAAGCAAGACCTTATACTTATGGAGGAAGTTTAAAGTAGAAAACCTCTTGTGGGGGGTTGTTCTTTTTAGGGGTACAAAGCAAAAATTGCATATATTTTGTTCCCCTTTATTTTTCATTATTTAATTTTCCCCCCCTTCACTTTTTCTTTTTGCACATAATGGGAATATGTTCATTGCTTCTAATGACGGATTAGAAGTTTAGAACTTCTTAATTATGCTTCTAACTAGTTCCACTAAATGTAAAGGGGCAATTGGTAAGCAACATTAAAGTAGTTAAAATCGATGAAAAATAATTCTGAATTAAAGTGAATTATTTTGAATAAAGTTGATTGAGTGAAATTAAATATATTGTAATTAAATAATTAGTTGATGTGATAAAAAGTATGAGAAATGATAAAAGTGATATGTAGTTAAGAATGCGCGAGTGAATGAATAGTGAATTAAAGTTGATGTGATGTAATAGATAGATGATTGATATTACCTCTTATTTTTTTTTTTTTGTTAAATGTCATTTTAGTTTTATCAACAATTAAACAAATAAATGACGTTTTGAATTTTTTGTACATATTTTTCTATTATTATACAAAATTTATGGGTCGATCCCATAACGGTTAGAGTATTTATGTAGAGGTGTGATTATACACCTACAGCGTCTTCTTCAATCAATTCAATCTTTTTTTGAGCAAGTGTAGAAGCTCTATTTTTCATTCACTTGAACAAATCTGGACAAAAAAGAGACAAATTCTATGTGAAAAGATCGAAATACGCAACTAAAGCGCATTGTTTTACAATTTGAAGCTAATACATAGAACAATTTGAAGCCAATACATAGAACAATTTGAAGAGAACTTTATTAATAACATTCCTTACTTGGAGTTAGGAACAAGTGCCACAACTTATGTCAGGATATAATACATGTGGCCTGGCTAATAGGCTTGATAGCATACAAAAAAAAAAAAGAGAATCAATTTCGGTTGTTTTTGCTTTTCGAATGAAGTGCAATACCAGTAATCTTCAAGATTATGCCAAAACAAAAACAAAAAACAAAAAACGAAACAAAATGCAGTACTATACGTGAATCTTTTCGCGAACGATCATTTCATGTTAGCGAACAATTTGTTCAAGGTTATACCACTATTAGACGAGTCAAGCAGAGCCTAGTTGAGCCTTTTATTAAACGAGCACGTGCTCGAACTGGACCAACTCGTCTCGACTTGAACAATACCCCTACTTTGTCATGAGCTATTTCAACTAATTCACATTTAGCTTATATCTGCACGTTCTCAATTTGATTATGCTTGTAGAAGAATTAATTTATTGCACTTTCTTCTCCTTAGCATTTCATCAAACACAGAGTGCTTATCTGAACATTCGAAACATGCAATCATCATTAATTACTTCCCAGTTGACTAATTTCTATGCATATCATATGTAACAGACCAAAATATATATAAAAACAGGAAAAAACAATTTAAATCAGGTAAACATACAATTAATTTTCCCTTTTTTACCACAAGAATTTGAAGCTTAAATTTTGCAAACTAAACAATAAGTCGATACACAGAGAGTTCAGAGAGGAATATCAAGGCCTTTCCCAACATCCACCCCAATTAGTTGAAGAATCCCCTTGTTCAAAATCTGCAGAGCAAATAAATAAAAAAGTGTAAACAAGCCGAGCTGAGCTTGAGCTCCTGGAGGAGCCTTCATCTGATAGAGCTGAACTCGACCAGTTAACAAAACAAGCCGATAAACGAGAGATAACAAGAAAATAGAGAGCTATGATATATATATTTTTTTTTTTTATTTCATCATTTTTAAGATGCATAATTTTAGTTCTTTATTCTTTTAGCTGTCATTATAAAGTGTAAACGAGTTGGCCAAGCACGGCTCGAGCTTTTATTGTGCCAAACCAGTAAAGAAGCTCAAGTTCAACTCCTGTATCAGTATTAACAAATACTATTTTCGAGCCTTAGTTCGGATCGTTCACTAAATGAGTTCAAGCTCATCAAACAAGATGATAGCTATATAGAACTACAGAAAAAATAAAATAAAAAATCCTATTTTCGAGCGTTAGCTCAACTCGTTAACTAAATGAGTTCAACCTCATCAAATGAGCCGAACAGCTATAGAAAACTACATACAAAGAACTCCTATTTTTCGAGCACTGGCTCAGCTCGTTTAGTTAACTGAGTTCAAACTCATCAAACGAGCCAGTAGCTACAGAAAACTACATACATAAAAAATCCTATTTTCGAGCATTAACTCGGTCAACTAAATAAGTTCAAGCTCATCAAACAAGCCGATAGCTATAGAAAACTGCATACGAAATAATCTTATTTCGAGAATTATCTCGGCTCATTAACTAAACGTGTTCAAGCTCATCACAACAAGCTGACCCGAGCTGAGCTCGAGCCTTAACTTAGGAGCTCTTTAATAAATAAATAAAAAAAAAAAAATCAAGACATGACAGAGCTCAAACCAGTTCAACAATGAAGGTCCCAATAAGGCCAATCATACAAGCCCTTGAATTCCAAATCTCAGCTGTTCTTGTGAAGCCCATAAAAGGGGCTTTGAATTTGGGCTGCTGTTTAGGCAACTCCACCTGAAATTCATCACCATAACCAGAAAATTAAACTCAAAATTAACACAATTTTCACAATAAATGTGGCCCAAAAAATATTATTAAAAAAAATAATAATAAATAATCATAAATTTAAAAACTGAAAAAATGAAAAAGAAGAAAAGACATACTCCGGCAGGGAGCTTAGCTGCCTCAACCTTGAAATTGACCCGTTTGATAGTGCGAAGCGATGGGATGATGGGTCGGGTTACCGGGTCGGGTATGGTGGGTCGGGCCGAGAGAAAAGGAGATGGAAATGGCTGTGAGCTTGCCATTTTTTATTTTTTTTTAAAAAAATTTTCTTTCCCCGAATGGTGGCCAAAAGCACACAGTAATCACCTTATCCACACTCTTTGGTGCGAGTGTGAGGGGGTTTTTGGGCCTTTTGGGCTTACCCATGTTTTTACGGGTTTGTGGTTCATGCTGATTTGGGCCCACTGTTGACGTGGCGCAACACAAGTCTCAAATGTATGTGCCAAAGTGAGTCCAGCCCAAAGGCCCAATATGAGCTGAAGTCCAATAAAGGACAGTTTGAAACATATCGTTTGATAACATATTATATAATCATTATCGCTTCGTTTGTATGGTCGAGACAATTACATCGAACAGTTTGAAACATATCGTTTGATAACATATCATATAATCATTTTTTATTCATAATAATGTTTCTAATAAATAATTATTAACGAGTTAGAACTCGACTCGTGAGGACATGAAAATTATGAATTTGCCCTTTTTTTTTACATTTAGTATAATTCATTTCGTCAAGGTTCGAGCTTGACTCGTTAAGGTTTGTTAACGAGTCGAGCTCGTTTATCAGATTAACTCGGTGAACAAGGACTCTAACCCAAAATCGAATATCAATAGTTCGAACTGAGCTCGGCCCATTTACAGCTATATTAATAAATAAAAATAAATACACATTTGCTGATTTGCACATCTATATATATATAAACAGATTTACCATTTTTTAAAAATAGCAACTAAATTTTGGTCAAACCTGTTTCTTCATTAATTGTTTTTCATTAATAGTAAGTTCTTTTTTTTTCACGTTTACCTATTAAATGCAGTCCCAAAAATGCGGGTCAACTAAAATTTTTTCACGTTTAGCTAATTGCAAATTAAATAGCAACTAAATTTATTGTCTAGTAATTAATTTGTAAAGCATTTCTAAAAAATGCGGAGCAATTCCATTAAATCATTTTGGCAAAATTTGAAATTAAGGAGCTGATTTGTTTTTCGATAACTGCAATTAACAATATCCCTTATATGAAGGGATTTATTTCTTCATATTAAACATTATCTATAACATGAAAAAATATACATAAATTGAAGAAAATCCATTAATTGTATGTCCATGTATAATATTTTTTTTATTACTTTTGGAAACCCGACTGTCGATTCAATTATCTCTGAACAACGAGTCAGATTTCAGTAGATCTATATACTCTAAAGGAAAAACGACCGCCGATTCATAATATTTTTATACAATAATCCTGAATAAAAAAATAAAAATAAAAGACCTCAGATCGTTCAATTTGGTTTCGAATCCCGTGTGTCATACAAATTAATCAGGTCATATTCGACTGAGATTCTCAGAAAAATATGCATCATGTCGTATTCGACATAGATTCTCAGAAAATCGATTATCATGAGCTGAGTACGTTCAAAACTATAACAAAAAATAAAAAAATAAAAATGAAACGAAGGTCGGTTTAAGGGTTGAGAAAGATGAAGCAGTGGGAGAGAGAAGTGAGAAGAAGCTAACAGAACAAATGACTAGCCCTAAAATATCGGGGTTTTTTAATTTTTTTATATCAAGTTTTATTCATTTCAAACCGTTAGTTTTTGTTTGACTATATTAACTGTCAGATCGGGATTTAGTTTGCTTTAGGGCCAGTTCAGACGGAAGAAATAAAAAAAAAAAAATTAATAAGCCCGACTTTACACCAATGGTAATGGGTCGACTTTAATTATAAGTTTACTGTATTACTTTGGCCAATATAAATATAAATATGTTTAATTATTTCATAAATCAGCCCAATTATATTACTTATAATATATCATTAATTATTTTTTTCCGAAATGATAGATATATAACATTAATATTGAACACATATATTATGTTATCAGTTTTGCTATGGAGTCATCGGATGGCTCGACTTTTGGAGTCATTCACAGTTATTCACAAATAGTGTATTGACACGTGTCCTACATTAAATGAACTTTGGACAGGTGTCAAAACATTAAGTGATTGATGGCTCCATAAGAAAACCATTTGATGGTTCCATAAAATTTTTGATTATGTTATCTAATTTATAAATTTTACTTTTGTCAATACTTTAACACATATATATTTTTAGTTCATGAAATAAATAAACATACCATATATACAGAGAAAATTAATTAATATCACATGAATATAAATACTTTATATATTATATGTGTTTAACAGAAAAAAAAAAAAATGTTTTATAGGAATATCTTTTAAGTCATATGCACAATTGTATATTATATAAATTTCTGATAAATATTTTTGTTTGTTTCAACTTTTGTAAATTTACGTAAATTTTATTTGAATGTTTTTTTAAGAAAAACAAAATGTATCATTATTCTACAGTTATGTATGGTGCACCAAATAAATGTCAAAATACTCATGATACATTGCATACTCCACAAAGGATGTCATTAGCTGATGTCACAAATGGTAAATAATTTATTATTTACTTTACACAATACATTTTGCCTATACTTTAATTGATTATCAAATTTGTGCATCACTCTGTTGTATTTTTTTTATTATAGTTTTTGGAACTATAGAGTCACGTAAGTCGTCGAAAAATCTCTATTCCAACAAATCATCCTATGGTCTGATATCAAATTTGACTGCTCAACACAACACCAACATTTTTGCAAAAGCGATTGTTGGAGGATATACAGTCTTAGTTAATCTCACAAGTGATGATGAACTTGAATTAAGTATTATTCCTCAAACATCTTTTTTAACAGTCAAGATGTACTAATAATACTAATAATCAAACGAGTTTCTAATAATCAAGTTCATAATATTGTGTACATGGAGGTTTATAATAATATATAATTTTTCGTGACGAACATTTTATGATTCAATAGTACTGTTCCTATGTGTTATAATTATTTCGATCTTAATGCATGTCAAAATATATATTCTTCAAATTTATACAGTCCGTGCATCGCACGGGATACGCACTAGTGCTATCCTATACAGATAGTCTTACCATTTAAAAATATAATCAATGTCACGTAAATAAGATACTTTTTATTTATTTGTCACACCAATCCCAATCTATGATAAGGTATGCAGATGCTTCTACAGCTGGAATCCTGCAGATACAACGTTTTTCATAGTAAAAGATTTTACAGATATGTTCCGACTAAAAAATCAAACTAAGTCTTGCCATATTTTCCTAACCTAATGTTGTCATTGACTTACATAGTCACTAATTGTTCAAGATAACACTGTGATTAGGGATGAGCAACAGTGTGTGGTCGGGTGCAAAACCACACGAAATCGAAAAATAAAAATTTATGAAAATTTCAAAACGAACCGCACTGAAATATACAAGAAAAACGAAATGAAACCGAACTGAAATTTTCGATACTAAAAGTAACTAAACACACTATATTTGAATTGGACAGTTCGGTTCAACTTTTTCGTTGGGTCCAAGTCGTGCAATACAGAATCACACGAAAAAAAATAATTGTGGGAAAAGTAATTGCATGATTGGTTACAAATATATCCATTCAAAATGAGTTTTTTTTGTTAATCAGAATTAATTTTGAAAAATATGGTATGATTAATTGTTAGTAAAATTTTGAGTTCTTATTAAAATAATATTTAAAATAAAATAATTAAAATTGATTTGATACAAAAGTAAGATAAAAATGATGTGAAGTGATGGTTAATTAAAATTATATTAGTGGATGAATATGAATTAAAATTGATGTAATGTGCAAAAGTTTGAATTGATATTATTTAGTTATATTGATAATATTGAGTATAGTGAGGTTAGGTTAATGTTTAAGTATGAATTGAGTAGAAATTGAGTTATTTTATAAACAAACGCACACCTTAACTGAACTGAACTGCACCGAAATACATAAAATCGAATGAAATCAAACCGAACATTTTTTACACTAAAGTAACCGCACTGCACTGAAGAATCGCATCATCTTGCTCGGTTTTTTCTTTTCAACTCAATTTTGCTACTACTTACGGACATTTTGGTTCGAGATAGAACTTGATGCAATAAAATGTCAAACTACATTCAACACCAAAATCTTTCAACACACCACACATCACTACTTAGGAACAATTGCAAGCCTTGCACAATCTTTAAACCTACATTTTAGTGTAAAGAAAAACAATGAAATGAACAAAAAGATGATGATCTTACATTAAAGAGTGAAAGAAAAAAATATCAAAATAATCAATCTCTCAACAATGTAGTATACTAGTATACATACAGATAACAACAGAAACCCAGAAACTGGATTAACTATGCAAAATCTCAATTCTAACAAAAATAAACTACACAAACTCAGCCTTCAATTATCAACTACTCATCACAATTAGTAACTCAATCAATCCTCAAACAATTTATGCATCTCTATACATATGTTCCTCTTCATTTCCTTCCAGCATTCCCAAAAAAACGAACACTGTAATTTAATCACGCACCTGCTCGCCGGTTTTCGAACCTGAAAATGCAACTCAGTCCTACCAAGACCTCGGCTATGGCAGCCTCGGTTTTCTCCCTATCCGAAAAATGCAGAGTCTGACACAAAAGAACGCTACTCGTTTTTCCACACCCATCGAACCTCATCTTCTCCAACACATTCCTTTCCATCAGCCACATCACGCTATCACGGGCCATGGGCCCGAGCCAGTCCAACATCTCGCCCATAGCCTCCCTCCAACCTTCTGCCAAAAGCTCGTCGTTTTCTGCAGTCTTCATCTTCTTCGCCAGCTTCGACCTCAAAACCGACCGCAAGTTTTCCGGCAGCATCCGGTAGAGTTCCTCCCGCTCGTCCTGGCTGATCGGGCTTGTCGAGCCCAAGTACTTACCAGCAAGTATGATGATGTTTGCGTACAGAGTTGTCAGGCCCGAACCCCCGACTGTTTCGGGCCCAGCCAAATGGATCACGCCGTCTGGGCCGTGGCCCGTTTTGTCCTCGTCGGGAAAGTCGATGGACCTCTGGCTATGGAACCGGACCATAACGGGCTTCGACTTGGTTAGCAGAGGGCCCGAATGTGGGACGATTTTCTGCCTGAGATTCATGGGCTGCGGCCCGAAAACGGAGCAGATTCTCAGGTAGACGACGCATACGGTTCGGGCCATGAGGTCGACGATCTTGTCGAAGGTTTGGCTCCATAGAGAAGTCTCCTTGAGATTGAGAACTTCCTTGCGCTGGTTTTCGAGCTTTTTGCTGAAATCGTCCATGTCGATCTTCATCACCTCGAGCTGCCGGGGGCTGAGCTGCTTCAATTTCCGGTCGGAAACCTCCAAATCGGCCAAGGCGTCCGCCGCAGAATGCAGAGACGACGTCGTCGAGGCCAATTTCTCCATCTTCCGAACCCTCTTCTCCGCCGCCCGCGACCCGTACAGCTCCGATTTCCCCAAATTGACGATCCCCAATTTCAGATCGGTGTAGATGACGGCGAACCGGTTGAGACCGAAATCGTCGCACCTCTTGCCCAAGCAGGCGACGGCGGCCGCGACTCGATCGAGTTCCTCGACCTTCTCAGCGCACGTGAGGCTCAGCAAAAACTCCTCGTCGTCGGAGTTTAGGAACTGGACGCCCCTGGATCTGAAGACGCCGTTCCTCAGCCGCGAGATCTCCTCGTCGTTGATTGATCTGTACAGGGACACCAGCCGCGACACGATTCGAGCCGTCTCGAAGGCGAGGATCCCTAAATTGGAGCAGCCCTTCTTCTCATTGGAGGTGAAGCGGCGGTGGGCCGGCTCCGGCAGCCAGGCCAAACCCTTGAACCCAACCATTTCTTGTTTATTTATTTATTTTTTTTTTTTAAGTTGTTCTCCAGTTAGTGAGTTAGTTAGGAGGGTTTTTTCTGAATGAATGGGGTTTTTAAAAGGGGTTTGGGAGTGTGAAGGAAGTTAAGGTCGAAGGGTCTTCGCCATTGGAGGAGAAGGATAACGCGCATGCATCTTGGACCCGCCGTCGACTGGAAGGAGTATTTATTTCGGGTTTGTTTTTGAACCGACTTGAATGACAGATGGCTTTGATCTGTGTAAGGCTTTGAAAGGAACTGTTGGAATTTAGGGGAATTTATATTTGGAGATGTGGAGACTGTTCAAAAATAGTTTTTCGGTAGTGTTGACCGTCACACTTACCCCTATAGCATTTATAGTAGACATGGCCACGAGCCGAACCGGCCCGTAGCCCGACCCGCGAACCGGCACCGGCCCGGTCCAAACCGGCCTCTTAAGGGCCGGTTCGTTGAACCGGAACTGTAGGGCCATGGTTCGGTCCCAATTCCATTTTTTTTAATTTTTGTCCCGCCGGACTGGGCCGGGCCGGGCCGGGCCAAATTCTTTGTTTTTCTTAAGGGCCGTACCGGCCCGTGAACCGCCGGGCCGGTGAACCGGCCCTTGTTTCTTAGCGGGCCGGTCGCGGTCTGTGTGTTGGAGGGTCCGTGGCCCGACGGGCCGGGCCGGGCCAAGCCTTGGCCCGACACCTGGTCACGTCTAATTTATAGTATTAATTTTATTCAATTCAGTTCGGCTCGTTTAAAGCTCTGTCGTTAAAGCTTGAGATTATTAAATTTTATGTGTGTTTTTATAATTTTGACTCGTTAAGGATTGAGTATCAGAACTCGAATTTTTGTATACGTTTTTGTAGTTTAACTCGTTAAAACTTTATTAGTATCAGAAACTTGAATTTAGTCAGAGTTGTTTATATCTTTACTACAAACTAGTATGGTACCCGTGCGCAGCACGGCCGGCGCAGCACGACGGGATTATTTCCTCTAACCTTTTTTTTTTTAACTTTATGTTAAATATTTTTTTATAAATTAATAATTTAATTACAATAGAAAGAGGATAGAGGAATACAAAATATAAACAAAAATCATATATTATTAAACACTTCTCTATACACAACATTATTGGTTTGATTTTCTTTCAAACCTCTTCTCCACAAATTAAAAATTTCAGACCCTTTATGTTAGTAACACGGGAGACAACGACATATAACTGGTCATGACTAAACACTGGTTTCTTCAAGAATAAGCCAACATGCGATAATGATTGACATTGAATCTTGTTTATAGTCATTGCGTACGAAACCATAATGGGGAGTGCCTTCTTTGAATTTTGGATGGGATTCTAACATCATAAGGAGTTATTGTCATCCGAGGTATCAAAACTTTATCACCTACATGATCACCAGTAAGAATTTTACACTCGAGAACATGATTGGAGAGTTTAGTCACAACCAATTGTGTACCATTGCAGTGTCCCATTGAGTGATCCATATTCCGCAACAACATAACTGGAGTTCTGACCTTCAAATTCAATTCATGGTTCGATGTTCCAGAACACATGATAGTGTTCAAGAACTCAGGAGTATGGAGTTGTGCCACAAAGTCGGTATTGGAATCGGATTTACACGTATTGTCTGAACTTAAATACGTGCGTCCCTCAGTCAAATTTAACGACGACATGTATTCATTAATAGATTCTACGATATCGAGTGTTGGCGTAAGTATAGCTCTATCCTTCAAGTAACTTGGGTCGTCAGTTGCATTCTTGAACATCAGAAACGTGCTTTCAACAATTTTTGCAATTGGATCATCGGATGGCTCTAGTAATAGATCATCTGGTATGTCTATCGGAGAACATCCATCATTTTTACCCCAATGTTCCATCTCCAATGCTCGTTATCCAATCAGTAAAAGCTGCCAACTCGTCACGTTCATTCGAATCGCCAATGCTCTGAAGACGCATATTCTTTGTAAGCCTAAGCACATTACATTCTCCCCAAATGCTAGAAGAGTTAATAGCAGCATTAACAATCTCCTAACGACTCCCCTTTGGAACTACCAGAAGGATTTGTAGAAAGTCTCCACCAAACACAACAGTCTTGCCTCCGAACAGTTTATGATGATTTGCCGGGTCGAGGGCTCCCATTACTGCCTTAAAAGATGCTTGAACAGCTTCAAAAACAATGCTTATGCATCATTGGGGCCTCATCCCATATGATCAATGAAGAGCGAGTAATCAACTCGGCAAGGGGGCTAGCCTGATTGATCTCACACGATGAATTTTCATGCACAAAAATAAGAATGCCAAATCGAGAATAATGTGCAATTCGTTCGCCCGGCAACATGAGAGATGCTATTCCACTTGATGCAACACAAAGCACAATTTGACCGTGCAATCTTAGCCGAGCAACTAAAGTCCTCCACAAGTATCTCTACCAAGTTCCACCATAACCATACACAAAATACACGTCGCCCCTGTCGGAAAGAACAAATGTCATTATTTTGGAATAAACACCATTCTGTTCATCGGTCATATGTGTCAGCAATGCATCATGCTCAATAGCTAGAGCATTACGGTCATAGTTAAGTTCATCCAAAACCAGACGGTTCGCACTTGAATTAATACTACCCATATCTAGAAAAGGCATAGTAGAATAGTCCTTTATCTCAAACCCAACTTAACTCAACCCAACATAATATTTATTTTATATTTATTTATATATTTATTAAATATTATCTACAATAATTTTTTTATTATTGTTTTAGTTGTGATATGATAAAATAATAGATATGATAAAATTGATAAGTTACGATTAAGAAAAAAGGGTGAAAAGATAGAAATTGCAATTATGTTCTAAAATATATTAAGAGTGGTCTCTATTTATAGAGAATGAAAAATAAATTTTTATTTATTTTTTTCATATAACCTAAGTGAATTCGAGACCAAGTGGTGGAACCGAGAAATCTTCGGTATGAGACACTTGCCCATTTCACTCACCTCATTTCTCTCTCCCTCATTGTGGCTAGGTTGCGATCGAGGGTCACAATTTGACCCGAGTCTCGGATTTTGCTATTATTTTTATTCTTTTATTATTTTTTTAGTTGGTGACCTAATAAGGTAGTATAATATTTATTTTATTTCTATTTATTTATTTAATCGCTGAATATCAGTAATTGCACTAAATTATCTACAATACATTGTTTGGTATTGTTTTATCTACAACCTAACCCAACATAATAATTTTAATTGTGCTCCAAAACATATCAAGAGTGGTCTCTATTTATAGAGTATGAAAAAATACGAATTTTGGTATTTTTTATTTTATTTTTTAAAATAAAATAATATGAATAATTTGAGTTATACTTATCTTATCATATAAAATTTATAGTGGACCAATGAAAATATGACAAGTGTCCCATTCCTATTGTATGAAAGGTAGATAATATGGAATCTCCAAAAAATCTTCATGTAATCTTTTTATTTAGATTTTTTAATTTGTTTTTTTTTTTAAATTTTCAAAATTGGTTGAATGACGCTCAAATTTCAACTTTTTGCCAAAAATCTTTAGTTTCATTTTTTAGGCGGGAATTGAAATGTTTTTTTTTGCTGATTTTTTTGAATCTTTTTTCAAATAAATGCCTCCCCTCTTTATATATTAATAGACTATAACACCTGATTATTTTAATAATAATTTACTAAATATATGTAGAAAATTTTTTAATAAAGCTATGTTTTTTTTTATATACATATAATAATTATATATTTTTTTTTTTTGTTCATTTTAAGCAACAATGCACCTTTTATTTTTTCTTCTGAAAATTTAAAATTTTTGACATGATTTCATCACATTTCCAATTACAATAATTATTGGACCATGATTTTTGCCCTAATATTTTTTAGTTAACACATGATTTCACCACACATTTAACACATAAAATAATAATGATCAAGTTAACTAGTTGGTGACAATCTCATCAAATTATATGAATTATATTACTTATTATTAATTACAATATATATCATAAATATAGAAAAAAATCATACATAATTTGTACAATTTATATTTATATTGTTCATTTTTACTGATTGTTAAAATTTAAAATGAGATATATTCATTATTTAACTTATTACTTTAGATATTATATGCATGCACATAATGTTTCAATATTTTATTTGTATTTGTGCAAACGTATAAGATTGACTACTAGCATTTAATCTGTTTTACGAATAAATTAATTTAGGTGGTATATAATAGTTTTATTAATTTTTAATTCGACACATAAATAATTTATTTTATTTTTGTTTATAATGGTAGACATTATAGAGTTACACAGTGAATTGTGAAATTAATTGGGTAGAAGAATTGATAAGCTTTGAGTTTGTGAATGAATATGTACTGAAATGCAATAATTACAGTTGATGTGATATAAAATGATAAAGTGATGATTTTAAATGATTGGTAGTTAAAAATAAAAATAAAAATAATATGAGGGGATGAGTAATTAATTTTATTTAATATTGTATAAATGATTTTTTTTTTTTTTAATTTAAACTTGTGTTAGATAAGATTGATAACAAAAATTGAGAATAAATGGATAGTAAACTTTTCATAAAGAAATTTGCATTCAATCATTTTTTGTTTTTACATATTTTTGTATGAGTCAACTTAGTCATTATACTTTCTTTTAGTAAAAAATTATGACTGTCATATAAAAATGTAATACTTTTGCTTGTATTATTTTTCAAATACAACATTTTAATTTGATAATATGTATATATATGTTGAAGAAATATGATTGGTAGTAATGCTCTTAGTCATCTTCTTCTTATTCTTTTATTTTATTTTATTTTATTTTTAAGTATATCAAGTATGGTAGAAAAATTATTAAACAAAAATGGCGATTTTTTTTTTTTAAAAAAGATGATAATTCACATAAAGTTATAATTTATTGCATCTTGGAATATAATGTTTTCAATTATGTTCATTATTTTTTCTTCAAATGTGAACTCAGATTGTATATATAATTTAATCCCACAATAATATTCAACCTGACAGCTTCATCTGTTTTGAATTGATTTATTTCTTAAGCTTTGCCCCGCCTGTGACGGTGGATGATTTTATTTATTTATTACACTTACATCATTAATTTTGAATATTAGTATATCTTTTGTTCATTTTTTAGCAGACAAATACAGAATAAATATATATAAAAAGAACTAAATATTTGAAAAAAAAAAAAACATAACAAAAATGAACTATATAAGACATGAAATTACAGGTCTAATGTCTGAGAAAGTGAGAATACCTTCTACCTAGCTGTTTGACACAATTTCTTTTTTTTTTTTGCAATATATTCCACAAAATTCGTTTGTCGGTAAGACTAACATTAGACAAATCTAATCGGTCGACAATAATTTTACTTTTCAGCACATGCGTATACCTTAAATTTGAAGAGTGAAAAACAACCTGAACGTAAAACGCATCACAAATTTTCGTATGAGACGGCTTAACGGTTAGACGAGTCAATCCGTCATACTTTTATAACAAAAAAAATGAATAACTATGTGATAAAAATTGAAATGCCATACGTTTGTTTGTTTCGTTTATTAAAATATGACATTTCAGTATGAAATATGCATATTTATTGAAAATGTATATATGTCTGCCGATCGTTAGATTTGTTCATGTAGCAATAAGCTTACTGAAGAATGATATATCACAATTTAAATATATAAATTTATTAAATATAAAAATTAAACTTCATAGCTTGCTTTATATATATATATAATATATAATTTTTCCTAAGTCAGCAAAATTATTTCAAGTGTGTGTGTGTGTGTGTGTGTGTGTGTTTTTTTTTTTTTTTNNNTTTTTTTTTTTTTCTAGTTTTTACTAAGTCAGCAAAATTATTTCAAGTGTGTGATATTCGCAGGGCCCCAATTGAAATCGTGTGTTTGCTTATTGATTGCTTTAATCATGTGCCCTCAATAGTGAAACCAGCTTTAGGCCGTGTCGAAAACGATATTCTTCTCTATATATTGATTCAAAACGTATTGAGCCTAGGTGGCAGATTCTCATAATTCGGATGCTGACATGGCAAAAACCTATATTTCGTGATGTTGTTTTTATATTATTTTTGCTCTGGAGTTAGGTTTGATATTAGATTAGATAACTTTACACTATATATTCATTAACTCAACAACTATGTTGTACATTGGTATTAATACTATTTCACAGTTTTGCTATGGAGCCATCGGATGGCTCGGCTTATGGAGCCATCCACAGTTATTCACAAATAGTGTATTGACACGTGTCCTACAATAAATGCACTTTGGACAAGTGTCAATACACTAAGTCATAGATGGCTCCATAAGAAAACCATCCGATGGCTCCATAGAATTTTTGTACTATTTCATCTTATATGAATATGATTCTAATTTAATACTTTAATTAAAAGTCTCTCATTCTAATTGGGAAAACCATTTATTGCAAAAAATTTCAAATTTTCACATTGACCC